CTTGAGTGTGGGCCCCTTTCTTGTCATGTAAGGGAGATGTATTCTTTACACTAGTGCGCTAAGACCTTATCATACATTAGAGGCATTCAGAGGGCTTGTTAAAACTCGGAAGCCTAGGCCCAACCCCATAAACACTGGCTCAGTAAGTCTGAGAAAGGCCTAAGAAGGACCTTTGTTCTTGGTTACCTTTTGATATGGTTTGGCAGTGTCCCCACCCAAATCTCATCTTGAATTGTGACTCCCACAATTCCCATGTGTCCTGGGAGGACCCAGTAGGAGGCGATTGAATTATGGGGGTAGGTCTTTCCTGTGCTGTTCTCCTGACAGTGAATGAGTCTCACGAGATCTGATTGTTTTAAAAATGGGAGTTTCCCACACAAGCTCTCTCTCTCTCTGTGCCTGCTGCTATCCATGTAAGACGTGACTTGCTTCTTGCCTTCTACCATGGTTGTGAGGCCTCCCCAGCCATGTGGAACTGTAAGTCCATTAAACCTCTTTTTCTTCCCAGTCTCAAGTATGTCTTTATCAGCAGCATGAAAATGGATTAATGTGCCCTTGCATTCAGTGATGGCCCTGCTGGTCATGGCTGTGCACAGAGAAGGCACTTCAGGCACTGCGGACACCAGGCCTCTCCATGTTAGCCCTGTGTAAAAGCCATTCCCTGCCCATGCTTGCCCCTGTGCCATTTAGACACACAGTAAGATCCTACTCTGCAACACTGTTCCTTCCCAATAAAATCCATAGCCAGATCATGAAAGAGGAAACAGAGAGTGAGGATGTGGGCTAGGCTACCTTGGGCAGTCTGTGGAAAGGGAGGAGTTGGGGTTGGTCATTTGGATAAGTGGTTGCATGCCATCCATTTCCCTTCTTCCCTTTCTGAGGTCCCGGAGTGTTACCTCGCTGTTAAGAATTTATTTGTTGCATAATGCATAGTGTATATCATATCACTCATCTCTGAGAGTCATTTATTGGACAACCATGTGTTGCCGGGCCAGGCACTGTGCTGAGTGTGAGAGAGACAAAGACAGAGCAACCACTAATGGGGGAGACCAAAAAACAAACAGCCATCACTGTGTGTTATAGCTGTCTTAGTTCATTTGTGTTGCTGTAAAGGAATACCTAAGGCTGGGTAATTTATAAAGAAGTTTATTAGGCTTGCACTTCTGTAGGCTGCACAAGAAACTTGTGCCAACATCTGCTTCTGTTGAGGACCTCAAGCTGCTTCCATTCATGGTGGAAGGCAAAGGGGACGCTGCACCTGCAGGGATTACATGGCGAGAAAGGGAGTAAGCAAGAAATGGGGGCGATGTCAGGCTCTTTTTAACACCCAGATGTCACAGGAACCAACAGAGTGAGAACTCATTCACCCCGTCTCCCTCTGCTCCAAGCAGAGAATTCACCTATTCATGAGGGATCCACCCTCATGACCCAAACACCTCACATTAGGCCCCACCTCGAACACCGGGAATTAAATTTCAACATGAAGTTTGGAGGAACAAACATTCAAACCACAGCACCAAGTCAAACGAGTGCCTGGGGTTAAGTTATTTGGGGAATCGCCTCTCCAGCTTCCCTTATTCTTGCTGTTTTCACCTCAGCTTGAGATGGGAAGAACAGCAATTGGGCTGTTGACATCTTCTTGAATTGCTTGGGCCAGGTCTGCTATTGCTTTGCAGATTCTTTTTTTTTTTTTTCCCACTAGCTGAAGTCTACTGTTCCTTTAGTGAATATTCTCAGACTCTAATTTGTTCTGACACTTTAACCTGCCATCCACCTGAACAGAAAATTTTCATTTTTTTCTAGGCAAATAGCAGACTTTTTAACACCAAAGCTGACATGGCTTATGAGAAAACAGACAGATGAAAAGCTAAAGAGAAACATACAGACACCCCAGTGGCAGTCTAATCTTGGTGTTGATCATCTCACCTCTCTGAGCACTGAGACAGCCTGGAGGTTAGATCAACGATGCTCTGAGTCCCAGGAGAGACCCATGGCCTGCATCTGGGGCTTCACCAGATCTAGTTTATCTTGAACTGGAGCCAAGAATCCCAGGCCAGAGTTACCCAGCCCCAGTTCTTTTGGGAGCCTTTTTTCATGGACTGTCTCCGTCATGGGAAGGCCAAGTTCAAGCCCCTGGGCTGAGGAGGTTAGTATGATGCCTAGCCTCACTAGAGGTTAGGAAAGAGATGGAATAGGAGAAGGAGAGAATGGAAATGACAGAGCGAGAGCAGGAGTTGAGAGAAGGTGGAGGAGGGTGGGAGGGTGAGGAAGGCAAGAGGAACAGTATCTGTTTCCTGCGGCTGCCATAACAAAGTCCCACAAGTGGGTGATTTAAATAACAGAAATGTATGATCTCACAGTTCCAGCAACGAGAAGTCCATGATCAAGGTGTTGGCAGGGCTATTTCTTTCTTAGGACTGTGAAGGAGAGTCTGTTTCATGTCTCTCCTAGCTACCAGTGGTTTCCCGGCCGTCTTTGATATTCCTTAGCTTTTAGATGCATCACCCAGCCTCTGCCCTCTTCTTCACATGACGTTCTCTGTGTATGCCTGTCTCTGCCCAATTGTCCCCTTTTTGTAAGAACACCAGTCATATTAGACTAGGGTCCACCCTAACGACCTCCTTTTAACTTGATAATCTACAAAGATCCTATTTCCTGTCAAGGCCCCCTTCACAGGTTCCCCAGCAGAGGCAGGGCTTCAATTGTAATTTTGGAACATGATTCAACCCATGATGGGAGCAAGGGTGAGGAAGAGAGGAGGAGGGAACAAGGTCTGGGCCTCGTGTGCCAGGTGACAGGGAGGGATGGGAGGAACTGGCAGCAAAGCTGGCAGGGACAGCAGCAAAGTCCTGGGGAGTGGAACAGTGTGCTTTGCATGCTCTGGAAAAACAGCAGTGAACAATCAAACAAAAGCCCTGCCCTTGTGGAGCTTACGTTTTATGGGCGTGGGTGGAGAAACGGACAGTAAACACCTTAGTATTTTAATTAGCCAGGTGTTGAGAAGAGCCACAGAGATTCTCAAAGAAAGCCCCGTGTGGAGCAGGGGCTTTCAATGTAGAATGGTGGGTCCAGGAAGGCTTCGTTAAATAAGTGACATTGGAGTGAACACAGAAATGAAGAAATGAGCCGTATGGATGACTTTCTGGGGAAAGAGTGCTCAGGCGGCGGGCTGGCCAGGGTGGCAGCTCTGGGGTGGGCTGTTCTTGGCAAGTTCAAGTGCAGTGTTGCTGGAGATGGGTGGAAGATGGTGACTGTGCACACTCAGTTTTCTGAAGGCCTCCTGGATTTGAAACCTTCTAATCCTTCATCCTCATTAACCTCAAAATGTCCCCAGAAATTCTGAACTACATCTCCCAGAGTGTCTGCCTCTTGAATTTGGAAATGACACAGTATCCCCACCTGGCAATACAGCCTGATTTGAGATTTGGAAGACACAATTCAATCCAGAAATTGCTAAGTACTGTCCACTGGGGCATTACAATGGGATCCCAGAACAACCACATGTAACCCACTATTTCACCTCTGACTTCATGAAAACACACGTGTACACATGCTTGTGCATGTGTGTGTGCACAGACACACCACACACACTGGAAGAAACAACTGAGTCAAAAGGTAAGACTTTTTTTTCATGAGATTTTCAAGCTGACATTCTAAGATCAAAGACAAAAACAATGAGTAGGTTCATTGCAGGACTTCCCCAGTGGCAGTTTTTCCCCCTCCACTCTTGGTTGCAGACAGCATGGCTGCTTTACAGCCATCAAAAGAAACACAGCTCATGGTGATGGCCAGCTATCCTTCAATCTGTTCAAGACAGAAGCCCCAAAACTGAGCATGCTGGATTCTCTTCTCCCTTCTACCTACCTCACTCCCTCAGTGATCTCAGGTCTCATGGCTTCAAACACTATCTGAGTGCTGCTGGAGTCCAGCTTTGTATATGCAGGCCAGACCTCCCCTTGACCTTCAGCTATCCTACATCCTGCTGCCTCCACTTCATCTCCTCCTAGCTGTCTAAAGGACACCTCAAATGTCACATGTTCCAAACCAAGCCACTGGCATTCATCTCCTTCCACCCTCTCTCCTTCCCCATCTTGGTTCATGGCAACTCTATTCTTCCAACTACTCAGACCAAAAATTTGAACTCATCCTTGACTCTTCCCTTCCTCTCACATTAGTCCTTAATTCATCAGCAAATCCTATATGTTCTTCCTTAAAGTATATCAACAAGCTGACCCCTGTCACCACTGATGCCACTTAGTGCAAGCCAAGAAGCTCTTGGTTGGTCTCCCTGCTCCTGCTCTTTGCCCCCCACTGATTAGTCTCAACCCAGCAGCCAGAATGATCCAGTTAAAACCCAAGTCAGATTGTGTCTCTCCTCTAAGGGCTCCCCTGTCACACAGAGGAAAAGCCAAAGTTCCTTCAGTGCAACCAGGGGGTGTCCTGCATGGTCCTCCTGCCCCCCGCCCCCTTGGCTCTCTTATTCCACTTCCCATCAGGCTCCACCCTGCTCTCTTTGCTTCAGCCATGCTGATCTTTTGCTGTTCCTCAGCATGCCGGCATACTCTTGCCCTAGAACCTTCACATTTATCATTCTGTCTGCCTCGAACACTCAACCTCAGATAGCTGTGCAGCCCTCTTCTTTACATAGATGGTGACTCTTCCATGAAACCTTTCTCCACCACTCAGTGTCCCTTTCCAAGCCCAGCCCATGCTCCCCAGGCCCATGCCTGCTCTGCTTTTTTTGCCTTCATCCTCATCACCATCTGACCCAGTGGATAGTTTTAGTTGTATCTCTCACTAGAATGCAAGCTCCATGAGACACACATTTTTGTCTGTGTTATTCATTGCTCTACTTCCAGTTCCCAGAACAGTTTTGGCACATAGCGTGTGTTCATTAATTACGTGTTGGTTAAATGAAGGAAGCTTTATGATGGAAGGAGGAATCCACTCCTCTTCCAGCGTCCCCCTCAGTGCCCAGGGCAGAACAGGCCTTCAGCTGCTCTTGTGGGAGCAGGAGGGACTTGCAAAATCATCTCCCTTAGCTCCCTCATTTTCAGGAGGACAGGGACAGTGGTCCCCAGGAAGGGAAGGAGAGTCCAACCTAGTTTGGCTGATCCCCTGTGGGAGGCTGAGGTGCAAACAGACAGCTGCAACTCCTTGCATCTATGCCACACACACAGCCTTTCTGAATCAGAGGGTATTATTCTTTCCTTCTGAACTCTTGGGATATTCCTGTTTTGATTTGGCTCTAGCAGTGACGACGCCGAGTTGTGCAAAGCCTGGGAACAGTGAGGGCATTAGGACCAGGAGTGAGGCGCACGCTTGGCTCTGGGTTGTGTCTGGCAGAGGGATCTCGGCTGAGTGGAGCTATGTGTGAAAGGAAACCAGGCACTGCCTGCCGGCTTTACATCTGTTGATCTGACCTGACTGGAAGCGTCCAAAGAGGGACGGCTGTCAGCCCTGCTTGACTGAGAACCCACCAGCTCAACCCAGACACCTCATAGCAACCTATTTATGCAAAGGGGGAAAGAAACACCTGAGCAGAATGGAATCATTATTTTTTTCCCAAGGAGAAAACCGGGGTAAAGGGAGGAAAGCAATTCAATGTGAAGTCCCTGTGAATGGGCTTTCAGAAGGCAATTAAGGAAATCCACTCAGAGAGGACTTGGGGTGAAACTTGGGTCCTGTGGTTTTCTGATTGTAAGTGGAAGCAGGTCTTACACATGCTGTTAGCAAATGTCAGGAGCAGGTTAAGTGACTGGCAGAAAAACTTCCAGGTGGAACGAGCAACCCAGGTTCTGCTGCAAGCTTGGAGGAGCCTGGAGCGGGAGAAAGCGAACTTGAACATGACCTGTTGCATTTGGCAAGTTCCAGCAACATGCTCCTAAGGAAGCGATACAGGCACAGACCATGCAGACTCCAATTCCTCCTGCTGCTCCTCATGCTGGGATGCGTCCTGATGATGGTGGCGATGTTGCACCCTCCCCCGCACACCCTGCACCAGACTGTCACAGCCCAAGCCAGCAAGCCCAGCCCTGAAGCCAGGTACCGCCTGGACTTTGGGGAATCTCAGGATTGGGTACTGGAAGCTGAGGATGAGGGCGAAGAGTACAGCCCTCTGGAGGGCCTGCCACCCTTTATCTCCCTGCGGGAGGATCAGCTGCTGGTGGCCGTGGCCTTACCCCGGGCCAGAAGGAACCAGAGCCAGGGCAGGAGAGGTGGCAGCTACCGACTCATCAAGCAGCCGAGCAGGAGGCAGGATGAGGAAGCCCCAAAGAGGGACTGGGGGGCCAAGGAGGAGGACGGGGAGGTGTCTGAAGAAGAGGAGCTGACCCTGTTCAGCCTGGACCCACATGGCCTCCAGGAGGCACTCAGTGCCCGCATCCCCCTCCAGAGGGCTCTGCCTGAGGTGCGGCACCCGCTGTAAGTAAGGCCCTTGTTTTCCCTTCCCTGATCCCGGGGCATGATCAGGTGGTAGCAAACTCGGGGATGCAAACTTTCCGTACCCTGCCTCTCCTGTCCCTAGAGCAAGTGCTTTTCAAGATGCAGCACCTGGGCCAGCAGCGTCAGCATCCCCTGGGCACTGGTGGGTTCTCAGAAATGCAGATTCTCAGACCCCATCCCAGACCTGCCAAACAAGAAACCCTGGGTGGGGTCCAGTGATCTCTATGAACAAGCCCTTCAGGTGAGAACCATTGTCCTAGAAAGCAGAAAGCAGAAAGCGAGGACTCTGGCTTGTTCATTCTCTTCTCCATCCTGGGTTCTAGTTCTTCCGTCTTTAGGTCAAATGGCTTTGTTTCTACAACACAGAAGGGAGGTTAGAGCAGATATTCCCCAGTTCTAACCCTCTGACTCCACTACATTTTGATTTTAGGGCTATTGTTAGTGTTTGCTTTTAGTTTGGATCAAAATAACAATTGCAGTTTACATTTAGGGGCTCTTCCCATGTGTCTGGATTTACTTTACAAGCTTTTAATGTATTAACTCATAAAGTCCTGGAAAGTCCTCGCAGCTCTGCAAGATGGATGCTAGTAATATCATCACGCTTATTCTATAGGTATGAAAACAAGGCGAAGTGGCTTTCGCAGTCACGCTGCTAGTAGGTAACAAAGGCAGGATTTGAATGCAGGCATGTGAGCTCCAGTCTGCCTGACCCACCGCTCCATACCACCCTCCTTGGGTCACTAGACTGAGGAAACAAGTCCAGTGCCTGAGAGCCAGAATAATGTGCTGACTGCAATTTACCCTGCCAGGGCGGCCCCGGCCCCAGGAGGTGAGCTGAGAAGTGTAGGTGATGTGCGGAGCTGTGCCCAGGGAGATGCTAGCCCATCCTCCACACCCCCTGCTCCCTTACTGTCACCATGGCTGGCCACTGAGGAGGGAGCCTTGGTTACCAACACTTAGGGAGCAAGGCAGCTGATTAGTTTTAGTTTGGTGATTTAGGTCCCTTTTCCTACAGGCCATTGCTTCTCCCAGAGCCTGGAGAGTTTCCTGGAAAGCAAACATTTGTGCAGAGCAGCAGTTGGAGGTAGGGCCACACATTCCTCGGGTCCCTGATCTAGTTCCCCTCAGCCTGGCTGCTCAGCCACTCACACTCAAGGGTGTGCAATTGCAGAGTCAGCAGCCGGAGTGAACATCTCCTTAAATTGTGTGCCCTAGTTGCCTCACTCACCTCACCCTACTTCCATTTCAACCGCGCTACACTGTTTTCAAGCCTTACCTTTAAAAGCTATTTTCAGGAAATTCCCACCCCATTCTAGTTTTGTGCCCTCCTTGCACCCTGGAGTTTTAACTCATAGCACTTACTACAACTAAAGCCAAATGATCATTGATGTATTTATCGGTCAAATGCCTGCTTTCCCCGCCATGCTGTGAGCCCCTTAGAAGGTCAGGACTGAGTTTGTATTGTACATCTCAAAGCCCAACAGGCGGTAAAGAAGTGATTGCTGAATGAACAAATATATAGTTTTCAAATTTGTTGACACTATTTTTCATTGGCCTGGAGCAAGAATGAGCATCCTCTTTTTGCCAATGAGAAATATTGCCTGAAACAAGAGGATCCATGACTACCAAAGTGATACGTGTGTGTGACTTGTGTGTTTGCATAGTGCAAATGTGTGGTGAATATGCGTATTTGTAGGTCATGGTATATGTGTGTTCGTGCCTGTGTGTTGTATATATTCTCTGTGTTGTGTGTGCACTGCATTATGTGTATTAAATGGATGTCGTGCATGTATGTGTAGTACATGCATGTACTGCATTGTGTGGTGCCGATATGCTTGGTGCATGTTACTTTGTGTATGTGGTATGATATGCACAGGTATGCATTGTGCATTGTATTGTCTTGTATGCATGTGTGTTAATGTGCATGTATTATGTGCATGGTTCATATATGTATTTTGTATTGGGGTGATGCCACATGCATTGTTCATCTGGGTGTGTGTTGCAGTTTGCTATTTGTTTTGCATATGTTTATGTGCTGCATGTGTGCACAGGTATTGTGTCGTGACTGTTTCTTGTGTATGATGTGCTTCTGTGGTGCATTGTGTTATAAATGCATTGTGTGAATGGTATATGCATACATGTACAAGTGTGTTTATTGTGCATGTGGTATAAAGTGCATGGATATGTTGCATGTGGCACAAGTGCAGGTAAATTTTGTGGTGTGTGTGCTGTGCACGTAATTTTTATGTGCTGTGTGTGTAGTGTGCATGGGTGTAATTCGTGTGTATTGTGTATCTTGTGCATGTGCTGTGATGTGCACATGTACTGTGCATGTACCGTGCCTGTGTGTGGTGTAGTGTTTGTTTCACATGTTTTTGTGGTACGTGTGTGTATGTATTCTTTGTGTGTTGCATGTATGTTATAAATGTGTGTGGTGTGAGTGATACATGTGTATGTGTGCAAGCATGTTGTGTGTGTTATGCATGTAGTGTGATGTTCATGAGTGTGTGATGTGCACTGTGAGGTGCGTGGTGCAAGTCTGGGTACATTTTGTGTTGTGTGTGTTTGATGTGCACTTGTGTGCTTATGTGTGTGTGCAACACTTCAGTGGTTGCTTCTTCCAGCCAGAGTAACCAACTCGTCTTGACTTGCCGCCTGAGACTTCCCAGATTTTAGCACTGAAAGTCCCAGGCAGTTGGGAGGAAACTCCTCAACCCCTGCGAAGAGAGATGATTGGATTCTCCAATCCCCAGCTTGCCAGGGTTCTCACGGAACGGCCGCCAGCCCTGTGCGGAGGTGCTCAGCGCCCTCTGCTGGCCCCGACTGGGGCGTGCGGCCTGCGCAGCCCAGGCCTTGGCCGCAGACTCCCCTCTCCAGTCTGCGGTTCAAGCTCTGGCGCCTTCCCTTCCCTGGATTCCTCGCCGGCATACACAAGAGAGTTCCTGCAAAGCAAGGCAAACGATCTCCACCCTCCCCTCAGAGTGACAGGATTCTTCTCCTACCCCTTTAAATCTGGGCCACACTACACCACGTAAGAGAAACAGCCATATGTTAAGCGCCTGCTGTATGCGGGCCCTGCACGCTGCTTTCCCACCAGGACCAGACAAGCCCCTCTGGCTCAGTTGCTACACCCGAAGGCCCAAACTAGCTCTGCTTGTTGTCCTTTCACCCCTGCCCAGGCCACAGGCTTTTTTCTGAGTACCTCTAGGGTCATTTCTGGAGGTCAGTTTGAATAGGTGGCATTTGAGGATAAGTACGAATGATGCAAGAGCAAAAAAGAAAAATATCAGTGGAAAAGAGGTCAAAAGACAGTCTCTGAAAAGAGAGGCAAAATTATCGTGAGCCTTTACTGAGCACTTACTATGTGCTAGAGGCTCTGCTAAGTGGTTTTTGTTTTCAGCTCTTCGTAGAAAACCTATAAGGTAGGTTTCATTTCATAGATGAGGAAACTGAGGCACAGAAAGATGGAGGGACTGGTGCCAGGTTATCTGACAGGGTGAGTCTGACACCAAAGTCACACTCTTAACCACTACGCTACACTTTGCAAGTCTGCTACTCTCCAGATCAGAGACTGGGCAAGTTACATGGGCTGGAAGTGTTTCAAGTTTTTTCTTCTTAGAATGGGGAGAACTCACACGGGTCCATGGGGAGACACTTGGGGAAATGCTTATCACAGCATCCTTGGTGGTGTGGAGGAGCTGGAAACCACCTGGGTGTCACGTCACAGGGCAAGAGGAGCTGGGTGCACCCTATGAGATACTCAGCCTGAGTTAGAAGCAACAGACTCTGGGTACATTCAACAGTGAAGGGAGACCTTAAAAATCCCCTGCTGAGTGAAAAAGTAAGGCACAGAAGGCGGCCTACAGCACTGTATCATTAGGGGAAATGTAAATCCGTGCACACTAACCAATCCATTCTTTACAGGAACAGATCAAACTCAATGAAATGGTTGTGCTGTGGGAAAGGGAGGGTCCTCAGGGCAGAGGTGGGGATAAAACTGAATGAATACTCAGGCAAAATAGACAGGAGCCCATGATGGAACCACAAACAGGAACGGCATTAACTCAGCCCTTGAAAGCTGCTGTCAAAGAAGGGGCGGGAGGAACAAGCCCTGCCCATTTAGCCTCCTGTAGCATGGATGGCTTTCAAAGTTCTTCCAGGCCCCAGCTTTCCTTTGATCATCCTGGCACCCAGTGCAGGGACAATGGATTCCTAGGATCAAAGAGGCTGCTGAGTGAGCCAGTGCTTTATATTCTACATCTAGGGACGAACTTGAGTGTGCATCAGAACACCTAGAGGGCTTGTTAAAATACAGATTCCTGGCCTCCAATCCTATAGTTTCTGATCCAGTGGGTGTGAGATTCAACATTTGCATTTCTGCAAACTCCTGGTACTGCTGCTCCACCCTCCCCCCAGGGTGACAGGACTCTTCTCCTACCCCTGAGCCAGAGGGGCTTGTCTGGTCCTGGTGGGAAAGCAGCGTGCAGGGCCCGCATACAGCAGGCGCTTAACATGTGGCTGTTTCTCTTATGTGTTGTAATGTGGCCCAGATTTAAAGGGGTAGGAGAAGAGTCCTGTCACCCTGGGGGGAGGGTGGAGATCGTATGCAAATGCAAATTCAACATTTGAATTTCAAATTCAACATTCCAGTAACTCCTGGTACTCCTGGTACTGCCGATCCAGAGACACTTTGAGAACCTCTGCTCTAAGGCACACTCTTTATGCCAAACAGACTGGCCACAGCAGGGCTCCTCAGACTTTAAGGTGCGTGTGAATGATCTAGGCATCCTGTTAAAATGCAGTCAAATTCAGCAGGTCAGGAGGGCAGCCTCAGATGCTCCATTTCTATCAAAGGCACTGCAAGGTGGCACCAGCACTGCTGGCCCACGGAGCACATTTTTCAACAGCAAGGAGTTACACCGCGACTTCCCAAACGTATGTGCACACCCAACCCCCCTCACTTGTTAAAGACGTAATTGCTTGTTAAAGACATAGAGATGTTCAGACCCCCTCACTGGCAATGCTCCAGAGTTCTGAGTTGGAGCCCAGTAATCGGAATTTTTTTAAGCTGATGCTAGATAGTCTGGGGAACTAGAGGTAAAGAAAGCGAGTGGAGAGCTGGTAGAGTTTGGGAAGTTTCCATGTAGGAAGCAATGCTAGAGTCAGAAAATAGAGAAGAGAGCAGAGAGGAACAGCTCCCTCATGGCCCCGGGGGTTTGTCCTCAAACATAAATGTCAGCTCAGTGGTAGCTGGCTGTGTGCTACCTGCTTTTAACTTGCCTTTATGGTTCAGCCTGTGTTTCCCTGGTTTATGTACCCATAGCTGTGATTAAACAGTTGTGGACCTGGGGTTGAATCCTGGTACCACCTGTTACTGTGTGACCTTGTACAAGTCACTCAACCTCTCTGAGCCTCAGTTCCTCAACTGTAAAATGGGATAATAATAACACCCTTGCATAAGGTTGTAGAGAAAATGAGATACAACATGTGATGATCTTCCCTGTGTATTAAGTCCAAACAGAAGTTGCCCTTATCATATTCTTGAGTAAATGGCGTAGGAGTAAGTTGGAGAGATGGAGAAAAATGGAGCTGTGGATATCACATTGCTGTCCTTTCTCTGACTGAAAAGTTATTTTCTGGCCCTGGAGGCTGCTGAATCATCATAAATGTGCAGGTACAGTGGAATTATCTGGAAAGTCTTAAAAACTATTCATACTCATGCTCCACTTCCAAGGATTTCTATTTAGTTGGTCTGGGGTGAGGCCTGGGCATCAAGATCTTAAAACTCCCCAGGTGGTTCTATCATGCAGCCGGGCTGAGAACCAGGGCTGCAAGGCCCCAGGTGGTCAATGGCTCTTCACAGCCAGTGGGGAGAGCTGGGAAGGGTATTTTCTCCTTTGTTCTCCACTTCCCGCCCCAGAGGCCATAATGGGCATGGGGTCAGAGGGAAGGGCAGGGGCGGGAGAATCGCCTTGGCTGCAGCTTTGTTGTCAAGTAGAAGATGGTGTTGCAATCCACGCAGGGTCCACTCAGTTCCCTGCAAAGCCTCTGTCCTGCCAGGCCGTGATTCACCCCAAGATAACT